ATAGCTATTAAATATTTACGATCTAAGGCTACCATCTTATTAACATTAATTCTTAACAATATGTTGAGATTGGATCACTTTCCAACACAATGGAAATCCGCAGAAGAACTTATGGTAGAGACCAATTAGTTTACTGGTTGCGCAGACTTCTCCCACCTTCCTCAGAGCAAAAACTTCTTATTCCTGGCCATTAATGGCTTTCGGAATAAACATGGTATCATTGAGCAACGTCATCTTGTTTTATCGAACATCAGAGAACCCCTTAAAAGTAAAAAGTATTTCGATGACGTATTCCTTAGAAGACTTTATTGGCTAGATTTGTCTGTAATTTCAACTTAACCTGAAAAAAATGCACTTTACACAAAAGTAATCTTAAACCTGATTGGACCTTTCTATCGATACCGTGCCGAAAGAACGATATTAGTTTGGCAGCGATCCAATCGACAATTTATTTTCGTATTCTTTAACTTTGCGGAACCGCGTGCCGGCCAAACCATACTTCATCGATCTGAACAAGCGGTAATCGCAAGGTGACATGTCTGGTCAGTATGCTGGGTGTGGCAGAACTTTCCATTCGAGCTGCAACAGTGTAATCTTGACAACTCTTGTAACGTGTGGCCGAACGTCCAGGCCACGTGTCAGGCAAGGACACAGCTTTGCGTTGACGTTGGAGACATCTGCAGTAACAGTTTCGTTCGGTTTTAGCAGCTTGTAATTCACTACACCTTGCTGATCACACCCCACACACAGCAAAACTTAATAGCCATGAATATTCCGTTTCATTGCCGATGTGGATGGCTCTCTTGGACTGACCCAAAACTTTTTGCCCTTAGGATTTTCATAGTAGTGCAGCGACCTTTCCCCACCAGTCACCATATGCCGTTGAAACGGCGGTTCGATGTCGAAGTAACGTTCTCAGTCATTTCGTATTGTATGGCCATTTTCCCTCCCTTTTGAATCCTTCGCATTGCAAGTAACCATTTCGACACAGGTAATTCGTCAACTGCTAAGCTGTTCGAAAATTTCTTTAAGAGCTTGAGCTGTGTTTTCGTTCAATAGGACTTCCAATTGCTTGTTTTCGAACTGTTTTGGTCCTTCAGATCCTTCATCACTGACATCAAAATCATCAATTTTAAATCGTTGCAATCACACTGGTATATGATGGATCAGCATCACGATAAGCTTCCAAATTTATTTGATAGGCTTCGGTAGCAGATTTCTTCAACTTAAACAGCAAAAGTAATGAAGATCGAATATACAATCTTGAGCGCTCCATGAATAGCGTGCACATACGCTGAATAACCCAACAATTTAATTTTTATCTGTAGAAATCGCCTCTCAAAATATATGCAACCATCTAATATAATAACAAATGTCGCAGAATATTATTTCTCCATCTTGTCGCCTTAACTAGATATTTATCGAAACTTAAACACCGTCATCTAAATTATAAGCGGGTACTAAAAAATGTAGCTTTTCGCTCTACCAATTTTTACCATTCAAAGAGAAGTTCTACATAAACAATTTTAAAACTTGACACCTTAAAGTTTTGTATACACTAATGTATATCTCCATAATAGAATAGCGGCAACCCTACGCTTTCGACAATACGGACCGTTGTCACTTTATACGGCAAGTTTCATAACAAGCAGATTTTTCAATAAACACGCTCAACTAGAATTTGAATAATCGGATTTTCTATAATATACAGTTTCCTTGGACTATTGTGAATGAGTTTTTTTGCCTATTGTGAATTGAACACCAAATTATTTTGGCCAACACAGAGAGAAGTACAAAATGTATTTTTGAAAGGAGTGATAATTATTTCGAATATTTGTATAATATATAATATATATCCTCGGATTCAAAATCAGTTTATCTATCTTTAATTTTTATAGTAAATTCGTTCCCACGCAAAATTTTAAAATTCTTTTTCTCTTCAACTTTGCCGACTATTTACGGGACCTTGTAAGAATTGTCAAAACGTATAATTTCATTTGTATACAAACAAGTAAAAAAAAAACAATAAATTGTAACAGAAAAACAGAAGAAAGAGGACAATTTATGTCGAATTTAGAAGTAGCTTATCGAACTAATATATATTTTAAGTTTTCTGGATATCATTCAATATGAAATTCTAATTCATACTTAATTTTGGGCCGTCAAAGATGCAGTTTTGAACAAATTAAATGCTTACTATATAACAATGCACATAATCTGTTATCTATAAATCTCATCCTTGCCGACCCAGCATTATTTTATAAGGTATGAAAAGCAAGCAATAAATGCAATTTATTTTCAATTTCAAATATGGTTTTCAAATCAAAACATTTAAGTAAATCTTTTGCTTTATTTAACTGCGAAAGTGAAGTACACCTCTATACTCCTTCTTTTAAACTCATTTTCGTATTCATCAAGCAACGGCGCATGTTACAAGACTGTAACATTTCGTGACTACCGCCCATCTAATTACTCCCAGAGTTGCAATGCTCTCATCATATCAAACATTTTACAGCGAGAATATGAAATATTTTCGCTTTTAAAGTGTCTTTTAAAAAACTACTATAATATAACTTAATGTAAAATAACAATTCTTTCGAAAAGCTTAAAAAATGTTATCTAAAATAGCATTTATGAATGTAGAAGTGTTAAATTAGATGATTACAGATGCTTCTCGAGATGCCGATGACATGCACCAAAAATAAATAAGTTTTAATAAACATAATTAAATGAAAGTGAAAGCTAATCTTACTTTCAATATACTATATTCGATTCACATTCAATAATGTGTATTAAATTATAAAATGTAAAATAATAAGTATTGTCTTAGAGATTGTCTTAATCGTAATAACGGTACCGCTATTGTCGAACTCGGGCGGTTTATATAAACGAATGCTTTATGTGAAATTCAAAGTAAAATTAATCATTTAATCATTCTTATATATATACATTTTTTTTATATTTATTTATTTAATATAAAATGAATATAATTTTTTTAATCTTTTACTTGAACTTTATACTTTTTTAATTGTATATTTTCTCTAGGTAATTGAATAATTAATATTTTTTTATATAAAAATAATAATAGGTAAAACATTTATACATCAAAAATTTAAAAAAATTACGCATTTACTAGCGTGAACGTATAAACATAAAATTCTAATTGTAACCGTGAACTTAATAACTCAAGCATCATAACAGTCCTGTTAAAAAAAAAAACGCTATTTTTAGGAAGCTTACTGTCTGACACAATGCATCAAAAAAGCTGTATTAAAAACTCTAAAATAATAACAACAAAAATTATTGTAAAGGACGCAAAGCTTGCGGGAGATATTTACTACTATCAGCAAACGAATATAAAAATGCAATTTAAACCAACCATGTAAATTAAACGCCGACATTCGTAGACAAAGAACTTTAACAAAGAACTATGTGTTCACCCTGTTGTCTGTTATTTAACAGAATTGAATCCCTTTGGTCTGTTGTCAGGTTCTGTGGCTGTAAATCTATGTGTATGTTTTCTTGCTGTGTACCGTGTGTGTTTGTTGTTGAAAATTTTAATTTTTGTTTACACTTTCGTGCACGCGCTATTATTTACAGTGTAAACATTTTTTTCATATAGAAAGAGACAGCAATATACTTAAGTTTAATTTTTCCGTGTCTTATTCTAATTAAATGGCAGCAGCATTTTGTGTTAATTTTGTTATTTTTTTAATACGGACAAAATTTTTCTTTCGGCGGTGTCATTTACTTTCGGTGTCATTTGCTGTAAAGTTCGTATCGTGTGCGACTGTTGCTGTTAAGCTTACATCTTTTGTGATTATTGTTGCAAATTTCTTATGCACGTGCTATTGTTTACACTTCAAAAGTAAGGTACCATCTGTATTTCGTTGCTGTAAAAGTACGACCGTTTAAAATAATATTTAATTTGTCACATATATCAACTATTTGCAAATGTTATCATTGAACAAGAATCATAAACAAGACGAAGAAATGCAAAAGTGAAATTTAAAAAATGCGAATTTTTAAAGATTAATTAAACAATAATCATAATAATAATATAATATATAAAAATTATGATAAATAAATGAACAATTCTAAAGAGGAAAACGGTGGTAGGGTTTTGATTTGTTGATTTTATCATATATAAAAATGTTCTCTTTTGTTTTTTTTTTTTGCCTTTGAAGAGACATCCAAGCGATCAGACCTAATGCTTTAGTATATATCTATATACATGTATCATTATTTAACTACACTCATACAAGCAAAAACTGATATATTGTATTTACGATACAATTAACATTCGAGCGCTGGTTCCAATACAATTTAACTCTCGTTTTTGTTTTTATTTATTTTATTTTTTTTGTTTTTTTTTTTATAATTTACAGTATATAAGCAGCGAATCTTTTTTCCTTTTTTTTTGTTTTTCTATAACGACAACATTTTACAGAAGTATTTACAAAGAGGTAAATGAAATGAAAAGAAAAAAGGAGAAAAAACCGGCCCTACCGCTACCATATTGCTTTACAGCAAAACGTAAGCAAGAACATATGGTTTTAGAACCAAAACTAAAGATATTAACGTAAACGTAAACAAGAAATTTATAAAAAATAAGAAAGTTTACATAAAAGTATACAAGCCTGTTTATTGATTAGAGATAAAGAAGATGAATCTGATGTACGTAGATATATATATTAGATATATAATTGTATTTTAATTGATTCATAACTTCAAGAAACTACCATTTACCACTCGACAAAAACCAGTTTGATGAATATATTTCCACTTTAAATAAATGATGTCTATTGCTTGTTTGTTTAATTCGCAAACGGTTTTGTTTGTTACCGTATTCTGGATGGCAGAAATTGTTGAGTACATTTTAATCATCGGCTATTCTTATGGCAAAAACTAAGTAAACGACTTTTCCAACACTGTTTAGAAAGCAGCTGACTTGTGTTGACATTTCTTCGAAGTTTATAAAATCAACCAAAGTAAAGCAAAATCGTTTTCGCCGTTATAATAAAATGAACAAATAAAAAAAAAAGTGTATTCCAAAATGAACCCTCAACTTTATTGAGGCCCAAGCAAAGAATTTCGTATTCACTTTGCACCTTTTTGACACATCACATCGAAACAGAAGACGAAGGAGATCTTAAACTTGAAATTATAGGCAAAGTAACATCTAAGTATTGAAAGAACTGCGCGAGATGAATATCAAAAATATTTAATACGTATGCCGATGTTGGCGGTAGGTTTTGAATTAATTTTGTATTGCATGTATATTTATAAAGTAGTCAATATTTACAGAAATCTGCTGCTGGTGCTATAAGCAAACAGAAAGCAACGCTCTGCGTAAAATAAAACGTAAAATAAACGTTGATTGGATGTCAACTATATAGAAAAGATAAACTAAGTCAACTAATATCGACTAATAAGTTGATCAAGTTTCACAGCTATACAAAGTGAATGCGAGAAGTTTAATCAGCCGGCGATACTTGTGAACAATAAAAATAAGATAATTAGATCTACAACTCTAATTGTTCTGCTACTACATAGCTGCTGCTCTTATGTCGTTCTGCATGCAGAAATGGTTAGATTAGTTTTCGTTTTTAAGAGAGCCAATAGTCCTGTCTAAACAATTAGTGGTCTTTCTTTTTTTTTAATTCAAGAGTTGATTTCTTTGGTTTAAATAAATTGTAATAATGATAATAACATTGCTACGTTTACAAAAAGCCTAGTTCAATACATTGCGTATATCAAGGAAAACTAAACAATTCTGTATCAAGCTAAAAGGTAGATGACGTGTTATATTCCTTGTGTTGTTGACAAAGCCCGCACTGCCCGCACTAACAGATTGACTTATTAAAGAGAAAAACTAGCTTACTATCGAAGACAATGACTTCATTGTCGAGACTATCAGCATATTCAGGATAAAACCAGGGGACGGCAACTCATTTGTGGCGTAATCTTACGACCAGATTATAAGGAAATAGGTCAAATAAATATAATAGTATTACCAAAGATACACGATAACGTACCTTTTCCTGCTATTTCCGATTCAAGCAGTGCGTTTAAAATACGATTTGATATTTCTATAAAACTTTAAAGTAGAAGCTAATAGAAGCGAAGCTAACAGTCCCATTCGGACATTGTCATCTGTGAACGATCATAAGTGATTTTGTTTGTTTTTCCGCTTTTTTGTAATTTTAGCGAAAATTTGGTATTGCAGGATAAAACCGAGAATACAGCTCTCCAATATCAAAATCACAAACTTCAGGGTAAAAAGAAGAAAATATACAAAGGTAAATTATTAATATATTGTTTTAATATAATAATGGCTATCTCCTTTGTAATGTTTTAGCAATCTTATGCTCCAATCTGCTGGACTTCATCAACGAATAATAAATTAATGAAAAAATACGATTTTTTTGCACACCCAGTATGAAGAACATCATTTCGCCATAATTCAAGATGAAAATGATTTCGATCACCCAACTAAGAAGCTTCGTATTAATTGGCTTAATTGACAAGAAGACTCGTTTCAAATCTAGCATATTATTCTAATTTGTGTGTAGATACTTTTAGTTCAGCCAAACAATACTATGTTGTTATTTAAGAAATATATTAATATAATTACCTAACTTACAGGTAATCGTAGACCGATGCATGGTGATTGCTTCTTAGATTTGTATGAACCTTTTTCTTTAAATAAAATCAGAGATTAGGCGTATTAGCATACATTTTGCATAATTACTCACTTGTCATCAAATAAAATTAGTGTTTTTGACATATGTACATAGTATTGTGTATATACAATATATACATATGTATATATATATCCTTTACTTTTTCTAAGGATATTCAATAAAGGTCTGGCAATATTACCAGTTGACTACAAACCAGCCACTCTTTAATTTTATAGCTTCATTTTTCGTTTTCCTTCAAGCTGTCAGTGCTTGAAAGGGAAGATAAAAAACAAGTGTGAAAATCAGTGTCAACTCAAATTAATGTATTTGGATCCATCAACACTATATTCATACCCTAGCACCTACATTTGCTTATTTTCTACAAAATCTCAAAAACGTATTACATTTATCTTTTCTTGCATTATTTATTCACTTCTCTATTGTATTTTTATTTTTTTTTCAAATTTTAATCATTTTCCCTTTGTATAAGTCGCATTATAGTTCGTTATTATTATATGCAATAAAAATTCATAAATATGCCATGTTTTCTGTACCCTCCCAATTTTAGGATAGAATATCAAAAATGCTAAAAGATTAAAAAATCGGTTTCACTGTTGTTTGGTAGAAACAAGCGGTTAGTGATATCACAGCCACAGGCGCACGATTGGACATTTTACGAAGAATGTGCAAATCAAATTTTATTTACCTATACTAGACCAATGGAATTAACACTTCAGACGAAACACACTTTACCAGAAACCAAAACAATACAAGCAACATTAACAACCTAACAAATCGATAACTCAATACAAAGCCACGAGAGGAAATGCTTGCTAATGCTGACTTAACGGGCACAATTATTGATGCCAACATTACGAGTGGGCAAGATTGTTTAAAATAATAAATATAGTTTCAAATTTTTTCTTTTTAGTTTCTTTTACAATTAATGCATCCCTAATCAATACAATAAATGAAAAATTATGAGTTAGTACCATTGTTTTTTTCTTTCTCTCTTTTATAAGTACATATTAAAATATTTTATATATATTGTGGTGTAAAACAAGCCGTGATCGAGGCCCATTAGCTCAGTTGGTTAGAGCGTCGTGCTA